TGGGGAATTCTGGGAGTTGAAGTCCACACATCTTAAAGTGGCCGAGGTTGAGAAACACTGCCCTACAGTATTTCGCAGCAGCTGTTAAAGTGTAATGCTTCATCCAAGTTGTCTTGGCCAGTCATGCTCCTTTCTAAAGAGAAGGCTTTGTCGTCTTTTTTTTCTCACAGTTGTTTAAAAAGGAGCTGGCTTTAAAAGGGTGTTGGAAGGCACACAAGAATGCATTGCAATGTATTTTTTCCAGTCGCCCGTCCCAGGTCTCCCTTTATTTGGAGAAGCACGGCAGGAAAGATTTATATTCACCACCGTGCATCGTATTTCACGTCAGCTCTTGCTTTTGGGGGATGAGGGCTGACAGCTTTTGCACAGTGTTGATAACTTCTGCCTGGGTTTTCAAGTACAGGCACACATCAGCAAAATGCACCAGATGTTATCACGTCTAACCAATTTTCCCTACTCAACTTTCCACTGGGGGGGTGGGTGGGGAAGTTAACTCGTTTAGCAACACATTTTCCTGAACTATTATGATCTAATCCGATGTTTATTTTACAACCGCAGCCTACAAGAGCAGAAAAAGTGTCTGCTAGCTGGGGAAATTAACTTGTGACGGTCTGCTTCTGTTTTTGGATGAGAATAGCAAGGCTTTAGCCCTTCAGGTCTGCAGAGGCAAGCATAGAGGCGGTATTGAGCCCTGAAAAAAACTACTGGCATGTTTTGATGTAAATCTGGCACTGTTGCTTGTGGGTCTCTAAGAACCCATCACTCGATCTGAATACAGTGCCAGGCATATAAGCCTGTTGCAGTGGTGGTGGTGGTGGGGGGACCCAAAATGTTTAGATTCAGGCCACTTCAAATGTTAATCACCTTGTTCTGAGTTTGAAATGACTCATTCTGGGTTGAAAATGGCTTGTTTTAAGGGCAGAATATTTGACGCGGGCTGTTTTGTACTGTTCTTGAGCTGTTTCAGCCTCAACCCAGTTCAAACCAAAGCTTTTCACAACACCCCCAGTTTGCAGAACAGCCTGTTCAGGAGCTGAAGGCAGCTTTAATAGTGCTGCTCTCTCCTCCTGCTTTTTCCCCAAACGACGACGACTCTGTGGGGTAGGTTGGCTGAGAGAGAGTGGCTAGTCCAAAAGAAAAGCCGTGGGTGTCAGCCCTTCGAGGCAGGCCAAGTCCAGAAACATGCCCAGAATTCGAGAAATGCTCTTTACCGCAGTCAAGTAGAATAACAGAATCTTGAAAGCCTGTCAGAGTTTCTCTCTGGCCCCTTATGCTGAACAAAATCAAGATGGGGTTACTCTGAGTTTCTTTCTCACGCTTTCTGCTTTCTCAGAACAGGCTCATCTTTTCTTAAAGTTCTCCCTTTAGGACGCTCTCCACCTTCCCCAGTCAGCTCCACATTCCTTTGCGGTGGGCAGAGGGGGGAGCAGAGCCTCAGTTTCCCTGCTCCTGCTCCCCCTCCTTGGATCTTGGGCTGAGAGGGAGGGGCTGGGCCAAAATGAAATAAAAGCAACCTCACCGTTGGTTTATCAGCGGTATTCTGGCTGAAAGTGTGTCATGATCCGTGCAATCTGCTATTAAGGTAGCCTTGTTCTGAACGAATTCCCAGCCCTGTTTCAGTCCAGCGTAGGATCTTAGGCGAACTGAGCTTCCTGTACTTTTCCAGTCAGTTTGAATGAAGCTGTGGGACTGCCTTAATTTCAAGAGTGGGGTTGAGGTTTGTTATGGGGGGCTTCTGGAATTGCTTAAGCCTCCCCCCCCAAACAAACAATAAAAAAGCCCCGTTCTTGGGTCTTGTCAGTCCCCTAGAGATTGCATTCTTGGCGGTTGGAGATTGCTGAGAAAGACATTGTGAATCCCGCCGTGCTGCTTTATCCTTTGTTTGCGGTTGCAATCTGGCAGAGTCAGCCTTGAAACAGATGTTGAAAGTATCCAGCCAGCCGTGCCCTTCTGCAGCAACTCCACTCTGCCCACTTCACTGATTTCTATGTATCCCACCCCCCCATCGGTTCCCATGGGGAGGGATCTCGAGCGGTTTGGGGATTCCCCAATAATGGCTTGTGAAGACACAATCATTTTGAGCAGCGGTTCTCAACCAGCGTGCCACGGCACACAGGTGTGCTGTGGGCTTGTTTCCAGTGTGCCACGAGATTTTTGTCTTATGTTATTTTTTTTCTATTTTTTTTGTCTTATGTATATTCTGCACAATACTTAATACAGTGCAGATAGTTTTTAAAACGTGTATAACTTCCCCTCGAACCATATCTTACACATTTAAAAATACATATTTTTTTCCCTAGCATTTTCCCGATAAGAATAGGGTCCATTTTTTCCAGATCAACTAAACGTTGATCCTTTTGGTTGTGACAGGAATTGACCAACTGGCTTTTCACCTGAGCCTGACGCCTTATTTAAATTTATATATACATTTAAACACATTTAAATAAGTATATGTATAATTTAATTTAATAATTAAATTGATAATTAAATTAATAACTATTCAGTGTAAATTTAAATATTTATATACACTATATACATACATACATACATACATATATATAATATGTATATATTTAAATACATGTATATACATATTTAAAAATACATATATACGATTAATAATGTTCTGGTGTGCCAAAGAACTACTGCTATATTCAATATTGTGCCACAGATTCAAAAAAGTTGAGAACCACTGATTTAGAGCATGGATTTGTATTGTTTTCTAACAATCTCTCCTATCCTGGGGAAGTAAGGGGCTTGGCTACAATTCCCATGATCCCCAGAGAATATGACCCAGATGGAGTGAGAGCAGCTTGTCCCAGGGCCTCTTCCACCTGGAGTAGAGTCTGATGTTGAAGCTCTCCTCCCCTTATTTTCCTTGCCACTCGAGTCTTCCCCAAGTGGAAATTTCCATGAGAAGAGAAATTCTATTCCAGGAAAAAAAAATACAGCAGAGAAGAGTCATAGGAAAATGTCATGGTGTGAAATATTATTTGGGAGGGAAGCAGCTCTTTAAAATATTGCTATTTAGTCCATAGACATTGGGAGTGGCCTTCAGGAATTGTGGGGCTGTGTTTCCCCCTCTGATCACGTAGATCAGAAGCCACGGAAGATCGTGTTTGGTGCTTTCCTTTGATTTCTCATCACTCTCCATTCTTTTCCAACAGGATCTCATCATTAAGGTACAGTACTTAATGACAGTTGTGCCATCCGTGCTGCTAGTCACACTTCCAGTGTCTCATCAAGGATGGTTGTCTTGCCCAATAACAAGATTTTTGTCAGCTTCAACATAGGATTAGTAAAAAAAATCCTCATTGGCCCTTCTTTCTCAGGATTGCTGTTTTAAATCTTTAAAAGAATCCACTCAGTCTAAGCGGTGAGATTTAGATTTGGTTTATATAGCATGCGGAGCCATGGCTTGTTCATTATGGTTTGTTGAATAAACCATAGTTGGTTAGGTTTGCACAACATCTTAAGCTACAAACAAGGAACATGTGTGTGAATCCTCAGCAGCATCGTACTGGACTTGTGTGGCTTTACAGATGTGATAATCAGCAAACAAATCAGACTAATTTTCATTAGAAGGAACCTCAGAGGTCATCTAGTCCAACCTCCATTCAGTGCAGATCCAGTCTCTGGAGACTTCTGGTGAATGAACATACTACTTCATGAGGCAATGTATTCTGCTGATAACAGCTCCTACTATCAGGAAATTCCTCCTAGTACCAAACCTGAATCTACCTCCTATAGTTTCAACCCACTGATTCTAATCCTGGCCTCTGGAAAACAGAGAACAAGTCTACCTCCTTCTGTACACAACAGCCCTTTTGATATCTGAAGGTGACTATCAGATCCTCGGTCTTCTCTTCTGCAGGCTAAACAAACCCAGCTTCTGTGACTATTCCTTATTAGACTTGGTTTCCAATCCCCTCACCATCTCGCCATCCCTAAATGCATTCTGGAAGATGTTGAAAATGGAGCTCTTCCGGAGTATGTTTTAATCTATTTGGGACCATCTTTTGATTTATTTTTGCTTGCTCTTACTTCACTGTTATGAAGCTTTATGTTTTTAGGCTTATGAACAGATGTTTTAACATTTGTTTTCGGCTATGGAAGCCGCTGAGAGTCGAATTGATGGTGGCGGAGTACAAATGAAGATGGATGGATGGATGGATGGATGGATGGATGGATGGATGGATGGATGGATACATCTTAGTAGCCATCCTCTGAATTTGCTCCAATTTGTTGATATTCTTTTTAGACTGCAGTGCCCAGATCTGAATACAGTATTCCAAGTGAGGGCTGACCAAGCCAGAACAGTACGGGGCAATTAATTCCCACAATCTGGACTCTCTGCCTCTGTTAATACTTCCCCAAACAGCATTTGCCTTTTTAGCAGCTGCTTCACACCGCTGGCTCAGGTTC